AGGAAAATAACAAGTGAAGGCTGTTAGCTGCAGGGAGATGTTCACCATGGGCTAGGGCAGTGGTCAGCAAACTGGCCCCTGGAGTGTGGCTCTTCCACAAAATACCACGTGCGAGCACGCATGTACAGTGCGATTGAAACTTCGTGGCCCATGTCACGGGGCCAAAGAGCCACATGTGTCTCACGAGCCGCGGTTTGCCGACCACTGGGCTAGGGTAATGGAGTAAAGCACTAAGTGAAAAATAATTCCAATTGCATTTTGTTTTTATTATGACCTGCTCAGAGAGTGCTTCAAAACATGCATATCTTAGGGGACTAGTTCAGAAAATTATTGTAGAACCCGCATTTTTGAGGGTGACAGGTTCAAAGCTCTCAGTGACAGCCCAAGAAAGAGGTGTGAGTCACTATAACCCAGAGCTTCTATTTTTCACTCTTGCCCCACCCCTGCCAAGTACTATTGTGGATTTTTTTTTCTTCCCAATTGCTGCCACCTTCATGTATTTTAATAGCACAGACACACTGAACACCTGTTTATGTACTGCGGCCCTTGGGAGGGCCAGAAACCATTGTGATTGCCAAAACGTTTCGTCTCCCAAGAACCAAGTTTTGTCTCCTTAGGGATGACCATGACCCGAATGAGAGTGTTTGCTGTAGAGCAGCGGTCGCCAGCCTTTCAGACCTCATGGACCACCAGTGGTCTGCGGACCACCAGTTGGCAACCGCTGCTGTAGAGGACTCTCTGAAAGTTTGGACCCAATGTGGTCCTTCATTCAAACAGATCAAGTAGCTGAACGGCTAAGAATGAAACTGGGCACAAAAACGGAAATTCTTCTCTTGCCTTCCCCTCAAGCTCAAATGAGAAGTGGGGTGGTGTGCTGCGTCTCTCCTCTTCTTCCTCTGCTCTCTGTCTTGGTGGCCTGACAATTACAGACCTCACACCCAGCTCCCTCCGGCTTCAAGGTAGGTTTGCCCAAAATTCAGAAGGAGTCAAATGCCAGAGGACAGCCAGGCAGGGTGACCTCACAAGGAGGGAGCCAGAAGACATGTACTCTCACTCCCCTCTTCCTCCTCCCCCGACCCCCATCTCCTGTGGAGCTCTTCATAGTTGGGCGGATGAAGTGCTTTTTCCACCCAAGGGGGCAGCCTGGAGTTGCAGAGGTGAACAGGGGAAATAAAAAAGTCCTGCACGACAGACCTCAAAGGGATCCTTTAATAAAGGTCAGGCTCGCTGGCCAGTGTGGCTCAGTGGTTGAGCATTGACCCATGCACCAAGAGGTCATCAGTTTAATTCTCGGTTAGCCCGCAAGCTGGCTCATTCCTTAGTATGGGACCTGCAGGAGGCAACTGATCAATGCTTCTATCTCTCTCTCTTTCTATCCCTCCTCTCTTGCCTCCTCTCTCTCTAAAAGACAAAAACAAAAGCAGGATGAAGAAAACATATTTTTTAAAAAAAGGTCAGGGTCTCAGGACACCCCCACCCTTATAGGATGATGCTGGAGAGGGAGACCGGTCTCCTCTAATTGCCCTTTGGGTTTCCTGTCAAAGGCAGGCTGCGAGTCCGAATCCTTCCCAAGGGAAGGGGCAGGCTTGAGTGGGTCATTGGTCTTTTGGGCTCAGGGGGACGCTGTGCTCCTGCGTGAGACAGTGGATAGAGCGGAAGGAACACAGGCTTTCAGAGGCAATCGCCTCGGCTTGAATCCTGGCTTCTCACCTCTCTGGGCTCTCCCCCCTCTCACCCTGCTGCCATGAGGATTAAACGAGAAAGTGTGGCATCCCCGCCCCTCTTCCTAGCAGCCTGAGTAGTCTCATGCTCTGAGTCTACCACGCCTCTTCCCGGCTCTGCCCCTGGGAGCAGGGGGAGACCCAGCCTTACATGCTCTGCTCCGGACTCAGAAGCCATAAAGTGAAAGCAAGAAGCCGTTGTCATGGCTGGGGGGTGGGTGAGCACATTATCCTGAGGCCTCCTAATCCCATTTTCTGCTTTCATGTTAATCCTCTTCTCCCTTCTGTCTGCCACGCACTCCACTCCCAGGGCACTGACCCGGAGAGCTGGACTCCACCTCCTCCAGGCGGTGGCAGTGTTCCCTGCTGGGCCGGCGAGAGGTGGGGTCTGGGGTCGGTCTGGCTGTGCTTCGGTTCTCCTCAGCCAGCCTGGGTCCTCTTCCAGGCCAGGCGATGGATGGGTGTTAAGGGCTCAGCTCACTCATAACAAGAACAAGGACAGTGCCAGCCAGTATTTCCTAGGCACTCACTGTGGACACTGGCTGAGACCTTTGCAGCATGATTTCATTCAGTTACTGGAACATTCCTGTGAAACAGATACTATTAATCTCAAATTTGCAGATGAGGACATGGAGGCTCGAGGATTTGCTACAGCCCAGATCACACAGTGAGCAAAAAGCAGGACTGGCCAGAATTCCTCCAGAGTCTCGTGGGGGACCAGTAGCAATGTGGCCTCTCGTGTGCAGCCCGGGAAAGGCCCCACCTCCGGCTTCCCTCCCTGGCACCATCACCTGAGGCTTCAGCTGGGTGAATATATTACTTCCGCGCACTATCCCTGGGTATGGCTGTGCAGTGGAGTGGAAAGGACCTGGACTTTCGGGACAGGGGGATGGTTCTGGCTCCCACAGGAAGGGGACAAGGTACCCAGGAATTGGACAGGTGGTTTCATGTCTATGGCCATCTTGGGGGGTTGGGTGGGTAATTTTTTAGCCTCAGGCTTTCACTCACTATCCCCTTCATTCCCAGCTGCAAATGCTCTTCTCTCCACTCTGCAGGACTGACGCCGGCCTATTCTGCCCTCGGTTCTGAGGCAAGACTCTCCTGGAGGAAGGAGCTATGCACCATCCCTTCAGCCTCCTGTGGATGCATCTTTCTAAAAAGGTGTTTTGTGCTTTGCACCTCCATTCTTACTTTTTTCAATACTTACCTGAGGATATTTTTTCCATTGATTTCGATGTTTTGTGCTTTGCACCTCCATTTTTACTTTTTTCAATACTGAGGATATTTTTTCCATTGATTTCCAGAGAGAGTGGGAGGGAGGGTGGAATGGGAGAGAGGGAGAGAAACATTCATGCACTGGCTGCCTCCCGCAGGAACCCCTACCTCTACCGGGCTGAGGGATTTGAACTGGTGACCCTTTGGTCTGCAGGCCGACGCTCTAACCACTGCTCAAGCAGGCCAGGGCCCTCCATTTTAATTTGTCACACACCCAAAGTAATCAGGAACTCCCTAACTCTAACTTAGATTCCTCCTGCCACAATCCCCCCTCAGGGACAGGCTTGGAAGTTAGGGCTGGATTTCAATGCTCAGCTGTGACCTGGGCTTCAGTTTTCAGGAATGTAAAATTAGAAGGATAACCATTCCTCATGGAGGCCAGAGACTGCCAGTGAACCCATTGTCTGGAAACTTTTAGAAACTCAGAAGGCAGTGCTGGGTTCATCTTCAGCTCTCTCTTTTCTCACCAGGTCCCACAGTCCCTGAGCCCTGTGACCCTCTCTGCTGACTGTGACCAGGTTCTCGTTTCCCTTAGCATGCTCAGACCCCACAGCCCTCCCTACCCCTTCCCCGTGGCATCGCCTTAGGCCCAGTGTGGCGCATGTTTCCTTCTGCTCTCAGAGCTCCACTGACTGCTTGGCAGTTGGAGAAAAATAGAGGGCCTGGGGCAGGCTACACGTGTTGGGCATGAATTCAGCTGAGGAAAGAGGTCTGGGGGCTGAGGAAAGCCGAGGCCTCCTTGGAGAGGTGGCGACTGAGGGTGGCGAGCATGGGCAGGATCTGACTTGGCTGAGTCATGGTGTGAGGGTCTGTGTAGGCTCTGACTTCCCGCCCCCAACCACAATCACCAAGCCCAAGTAGCCAGAGGCAAGATGTGTGTGTGTGTGTGTGGGGGGGGGGCGGTCAGGCATAGTGGTGGTGAGGTACAACTTGAGGGTCCAAGTGACGTCCATGATGAGGACTCCAGAGCTAACAGCGGCTCCCCTCCATCACTTAGGACTACAAGGACATTTTTAAAAAAATTGATTTCAGAAAGGTGGGGAGAGGGAGAGAGAGAAACATCAATGATGAGAATCATTGATTGACTGTCTCCTGCACGCCCCCTACTGAGGATTGAGCCCGCAACCCGAGCATGTGCCCTTGACCGGAATTGAACCCAGGACCTTCCAGTCCGCAGTCCAATGCTCTATCCACTGAGCCAAACCAGCCAGGGCTACAAGGACATTTTGCATTTGAGAAATTACACCAACCACATCTGTTGAGAAGAAATTGAGCTGAATTAAAGTTTGGTTATTCTTTCTAAAACTCTCAAAGGTTTGTGCACTTTAGGAATGTTCTAGAAGCAGAAGAGGTAGGATTTCAGGTTAGAAGACTTGCATCCATGTTGGGGCTTTCTTTGGCCGCAGGGTGATCTTGAACCCTTAGTCATCTTTTTGCTTTGGGCTTCCATACACTTGGACTTCCCCCTGCTACACTGTCCCTCCTAAAACCCCGAAGATGGGGCTCGTCTTTTCCTAGGCCTTCCTTTCTCTTTACTTTCCATATATTTCTTGCCCAGAGAAAAACTCTCTCTGAAAAGTGTCCATTACCTTTTGGAAGGCAGTGGTGGTGATGGCCAGGCCCAAGCCTGTACGCAGGCAAGGCTGACCTGACTGGGGGCTGCTTGGGGTTCCCCGAGGACATCCAGTGAGAAGACGGGGAGTTCCCCATTGGGATGGTTGACATCCCACCATTTGGACATCACTCCTTTGGGGCAGGCTCTGCATATGAGGAGCTGGTGTGTGTTAAAATGTGAACCTCCTTAGGGGAAGGAGTCTCTCATGTCCGGATACGGATGTGGATGGCCAGGTAGGGAGGTGGGCACCATAAGAGCAGGGCCTGAAAACACATTTTGCCCACTTCAGGGTTTTCCATGGGGATTTCACTCCCTCAAAGGTCATCCCTCATGACACGTTACCCCTCCCCGCAAAGTCAGCCCAAGAAACTGTGACTTGGGGAGAGGCCTTACCGTGTGAAATGTCATTTTATTAATTGATTGATTTTTTTTTACAAAAATAAACATTTTAATGAACAAGAAGTACAAAAGCTTCTGGATATACAAACTCCAGGAGGAGGGAGAGGCTGTTTTTGGCTGTTTTTCGGCTTTCACTGAAAGCAAATGAGGCAGAAAGGCCCTGGCCCCACCCCCACCCCAGGTCCTGGCTCAAACTGCAACCTGCTCCTCGACCCCACGTCTTGGCTCATACCGTGTGTGTTCCTCTGCCCCTGTCCCTGGGCTGGCCCAGGAGAAACCCCAGTTGGGTGGCCAGAGGTGGCCTCCCCAGTACAGGATCACTCACTTCCTGGAGCATCCCGTCAAGTCTCCCGTCTGGAGCTCAGCGGAGAGAACACTCTGTGACCGATTGTCCCCACGCAGCCCCCGCCAGGCCATGGCACCTGTAGCAACAGCAGCAGCAGCAGCAGCCGGGGCTTTGGCTACATTCTCACACTACGAACACAGTGATGGGGCTGCCCACGGAATTGTCCCAATGAGGGGCAGAGCTCCCAAGGGGAGACCAGCCTTGTTGGCAGCCCAGAGGGTTGCAGAGGCCGCCAGCCCCCCAGGATTTCTAGCCCTGGAGCCAGCAGTCCCACACCTAGACTGGTAAACTCACATTTTAACATTTGGCATTATTGCACATTGTCCTGGTCACCTTCGTCCGTCTGGGATGTCAGCCTTGTCTGTAGCGGTTCCGGGCGACACGCAATGCTGCCAGTGCAAGTCACTCCCTTCGCAGGCAAGCCCAGTGGGCGGGGATGGTCAGCTGAGCCCTCAGACAGGTCAGCCAGAGGCCTTCACATATGTGGTCTTGTTGAGATCAGGGACTACATGGCTCCACCCCGTCTTGAAAAAGACCAGCTGCCGACCTGGGGGCAGAGGTGAGAGGCAACTTGGTCTGGATGTCTCTCTCCCTGGAGGCAGGGCCACTCTTCCTAATGAGACTGGCCTTGAGGACACATATACTTGTCCCTTCTCATCTCAGCCTTCTTGTCTTCTCATCATCTCTGGCTGCTGATGGGGAAACAATACCTATCAACCTCTCCCGGGAAGTCCAGTCACATCCCTCATAATGTCCTTTCCCACTGGCTCACCTGTCCAGGTGGTCTGGTTAGTGACCACAAAGGCCCGGCACTGGGCATGGCTCTCACAGACGTCCACAGCCTCAGCCAGGTTGAACACGGAGAGGAGGCAGCTTCCGTGGTGGTAGGATGGCCAGCAGCGGTAGTCCTCCTGGGGGATGGTGCTGTCTGGCAGGCGCTGGTACTCTGTGGATTGAGGATGGAGCGCAAATGAGAACTTTGTGTGCCCCCAGGTGAGGGCTTGGTCGCTTTCTGAAAAGGACAGGAAGATTCACTTCCTAGGAGAAGGCTGAAATCCAGCCCAGTCCCCGTAGCATGGAGATGAATGTAGCCAGCACGCTGAAACGGGGCTGACTCCTCTGTAAAGGCAAGGCTCAGATTTAGTTTTGGGGAGACACACGTCCCCCAAATCCAAGAACAGGCAGTTGCTCAGGTAGCACACGGTGACGGGCACACGTGTAAGATAAATGCGCACCCAGAGTCACTGGCTGTCCAGGCTGGTTGCTGACGTCAGAACCTTTTGGACATTGATTGAGAGCGGGCTTCTCAAATGTCCCTGTGCATATCAGTTTCAGGGAATCGGGTTAAGGTGCAGATTCTGATGCACAAGGCCAAGGGTGGCCTTCCTCCTGGTCTTGGGGAGAGAGGTTAGGCAAGCCCCTCAGGTCAGGGGGCAGTCAGGGATTTTTGAAGTTAAGAGGCATGCAAATGAATGGAAAACACAAAAATTACCCTGTGGGAATCCACAACTGGAGTGTTTGGGGAGGAGGCTGGGGGAAGAATCTGAGATCTCCCCATTACACAGAAAGAGCTTCTGAAATCTCTTGCTTGCTTCGGCAGGCAGCAGACCTCTGGGTCACCGTCTCTCCCACTGCCCGGGGAGCCCAGCTCTGGACTGACAATGCAGAAGCCCTGGGCCTCTGGTCACCCCGCCCTCCTGCCTCCTTCTACCAGGGACCAGACCAAAGTCCAGGCGGCTGTGATTTACAGCCCCATAAACGGCGTCCTCAGGGACAGAGCCAGCCATTGTTCACCTCGTTAAACTTTATTTACAGGGCTAACGAGGGCTCCCCAACCCCTAAGACTGGCCGGAGCTCCTTGAATACGAAGGCTGCCCACCCCTCGCTCCCCTGCCAACCACACTAAACCCCCGGGCCTCAGCGGAGGGACCGCTGCCTTAAGCAGTGACTAAATCCTTCCCCTGCTCCAGGGCTTCTTGACTGGTTTCAGTGTGGGTCCCCCCACCCCCGCCCCCCTCCGGCCGCCCTCCCAGCCCCAGAAGTGTAGAGGAAGGAAAGAGAAGCAAACATATGCCGTCTTCCAGCTGTGGAATAGGAACTGGGTTAATTGCTTTCACACACTTCACCTGGTATTTACTCCTGTAAGAATTTTGTGAGGCAGGTAATACTGAACCCAATTCATAGATGAGGAAAGTGAAGCTCAAGTGTAACTTGCCCACAGTCACACAGACAGTACACAGTGCAGTTTGGAGCCACCCAGAGAAGGGGTGTCAGTGCCACCCCCCCCCTGGTTTAAGGTCAAGTTATAGTTCTAGTTCAGTCAGAGATGAGACCTCCAAGTGAAGGCTACATAGCCAGCAGCCTGTATATCACACCAAGTAAGCCTTAGAGTGGGCAGGAGCTACTTAGTCTAATTAGGGAGACGGGGCCCCCTCCCACCTGTTTCTCACCTCCCCAGCCCCTGGATCCCTCCCGGGGCTACTCACCAGCTCTGCTGTCTGCGGTGGAGTTCTGCAGATACTGCCCGCTCCGGTACAGGTGCAGCACCTTCTCCAGCTGGGCCAGCGTCTCGTCCACCCCCCACGTGAGTTCTCCTGCAGGGCGCAGGGTGGCTATGAGAGGGGGCGTGGGCTCCTGCTTCTCCCAAGGTAGGCAGGCAGCTGCCTTTCCCTCTCCCCCTCTGGAGCCTGGGCCCAGAGGACTGGTGGGCTGGGGAGGAGGTTCGCCACAGAATGCCACTTTGGGAGATGATGGTTTCTGGACCGGGGGCTGCCCTGGGTCATTCTTGTCCCCACACCTGCTGGGGGAGGGGCAGGGCGACGGGAAGCAGATGGGCCCTGGAGAGCTCACCTGTGGCATTGACAATACTGTCCAGCAGAGGCCGTAGTGAGGGTGGGGCACTGTGGGGAAGGAGGTATGTGAAGAAAAACCTGGAGCAGAGAGAAACCAGGGCCTCAGGGGTCCAGCCTTTGGAGACAGAGCCTTCCTCTACGCCAGCTTGGGACAGAATCCCGATTATCTCTGGGGAGCCTGCCTCCCCGGGCCGACCAATGAGACACCTGCCCAGACTGTACATGGAGTCTACTCAGACTCAGGGTTGGGGTCTGGGCACAGGCTAAGGCCACAACAGGCCTAGCAAACAAGTCTGGAGTCAGTCTTCCCCACCCCTCAGCCCCACATTACCCTGACTGACCAGTGTCAAAGCAGCTCCCTGGCTGGGGCCGAGGGAGGAGCTTCCAGAGGTGAAAGGTGGGGGAGGGGGAGGGGGCAGTGTCAGTGTCATGGCCCTAAGCTCTGAGTTGGACACTATTTTAAGAAGCCTCCAGCTGCCACCCCAACCCAGATTCTCCTTGGAGCTGGCTATTTTTAGCATCACCCTCAGGAGTCTGATCGTTCCCTTCTTGACTGGGTGGAAGCCTTTCCCCTCCTGCTACTCCACTGGTCTAGGCTGAGCCTCTCACTCCCACTCTGGCTGGCCTCCTGTGGGCTCTCTCCGAGCCATGCCCTCCCGGCCCACGCTCCCTCGCTGGCCTCCTGAGTGAGTAGGGGGTGGAGGTCACCTGTAGGCATTGTAGAGGTTGCGCTTCTCGTTCATGCCCTCACACCAGCCCTGGGCTGAGCAGGGCAGGGTGAAGTTCCTGGCTGGAAACTCGAGTACACAGTTGGCGCTGCTGGCACACGGTGTCTCCTCTACGCGTGCATCATCCAGATCCGTCACCTTCAGCTCCCCATCCACCAGCACAAACTGTCGGGGGCGGAAGTCCAGCAGAGTGACAGAGCCCAGCGGGGAGTGGGCCAGGTGGTGAAGGAGGCGGCCCAGGCTCAGGCAGATCTGCAGGCAGACACAACGCTGCTCACTCTTTTCTCCTGGGGCTCCGGGGCTCCCTCCTCTGGAACTCCGGACTTAGCTGGGGGGGTGGGGGGGGTGCTGACCTTTACTTTAAAGGCCTCGTGCTCACTAAGGGCTGAGGCCAGGGGCCTCATAGAGCAAGCCAGTGATTTTCTATTAACCCCTGGCTGACCTGACCCTGAACATAACACGGAGTCAGTGGGAAGTGGGCCGCAGGGATGTCTGGGGATAAAGGATCTCCCCCCTGAAGTTGCGTCTTGCGTGTGGTTTTAGCCCAGTGTGTGGCAAGAGAAGGAGGACACTGACCTTTCTGCAACCAGGCTGAGAGTGTATGTGGGGGAAGAGTGTGTGTAGCTGGAGCCCAAAAAAGGTCTGGGTCCTCTATGCCTGGCTTCTTTGTTTAACCCTTTGGCTGATGGCCGAGTCCGCTTTGCCCTCCCCCCCCTCCCCCCGGGCCCCAGTGCTGAGGAGGGTGGAAGCTGCTCTGGTGGGCTGGCCTTCTAAGGGAGAACCAGCCCAGCCAAGAGCCCGGGGCCAGCCCTCCTCCCTGCTCACTCGGAACCGATCCTCCCAGGACGTCTGCAGCAGCTGGATCATCTCCACAGGGGCGCCCAGCTCCGTGATGGTGGTCAGGGTGTCCGGGATGTCCTCGCTGTCCTGGTAGCAGTAGCCATAGAGCTGGGGGAGGCCCAGGGTGGGTCATTAGGTCCCAGGGTGGAAGTGAGGACACAGAAGGGATGGCTATTATGCCCTCTTCCTCTGCTACCAGCCCCCCTCCTTGGCCTTCCCTAGGCCTTTGCTTCAGCTGGAGCCAGAAGAGAATAGCAGCGTTGCCTGGGAAGCCTGCCCTCTGTCCCTGTAGCCGGTTCCTCCTGACTACATCAGCCCCTTACCTCTCGCGGCTCAGGCACATAGGCTGGTCTGGCCACCATGTGTTAACTGTGAGACAGGCATTGTGCTAAATGTTTTACAGGCACAACGCGAGTCTTATAATAACCTCAAATAGTATAGTAGGTACTATTAGTATCTCTAGTTTACAGGTAAGGAAATCAACTCAGAGAGTTTAAGTTACTTAGACGAAGTCACACAGGCTAATGAGTTCAGGAGCTAGAATTCACATTTATGACACTGATTCTACAGCCTGATTCTTTCCAAGAATACCGTCTGCTAATCGACAAGCCAGCAAATGGTTACTATACCTCCTTCCCTGCTCCAATCCCTCTTTATTTCTCATTATTTCCACTTTTTGGCAGTTTCGTTTTCCCCCTTCTGCTCAGGTCTTGTGGGAGGAGAAGCAAGCTCCCTCAGTATCGGCAACAAGCATTAAGAACAAAGACTCGAAGGGGCACGTCCTTGGGTGTTCTCTGCATATGTTGGTGGGCGGGGGCCACACACATCAGTGGGGGTGGTAGTAAGAGATGGCTCCTGGGAAAGGTCAGTCCTTTGGGGGCATGATCACAAAGGCCTGCCCACTCCAGATGATCTGGGGAGGAGCTTGTATAGCTCAGCTGGTCAGGGGCTTCTGGGAAGCCCAGCCTGACTTTGTCACTAACACCTAAACCAGCATCCACAGAGAACTCTGCTTCTCCTGGCCTCTCCCATCACACTGCACATCAGCTGGGGTCAGACTGTGCTCAAAACAATCAGTACCCTAGGAAGGCCGTGTTTTCCGGGCCAGAGTAGGGAGAAGAGAGAGCAGCACGATGGGGGGTGTGGAGGGGAGGGGTGGCCGGGGGAGCCAAGTCCACAAGCTAGATGTCCCTGCATGTTGTCACCCTTCATGCCATGATTCACACCTCTCCCAGCTCCACTCCAGGCCTCGCAGACTCCCTTCCATCCCAAAGGTGCCCTTCAGCTCCCTGACCCCGGAGCCAGCTGTCCCAGTCCTGCTGGCATGAGGGAAGGCACCGCTCAGTATCAGATCACTAGGGCTGCGTGCAACTTGGGGGATCTGGGGCCAGTCCCAGGCACCCTCTTCTTCCCTCTCTCTCCACCCCACCCCCTCCCCAATCAGCTCAGGGAGGCCCCAGACCCTGGTGGGGCGGGGGAAGGTAAGGGGAGCAGCCCTGGGGCCTGGTTCTCATTTTCTTGCCCAGAGTCTGAGCCTTTGTGGGAAACTTCTGAAGGTTATTAAACACCCGGAGGTCATTAAATGCGCTGTTAACGAGGTATTAATCAACACCCCTCAGGAAAAAATAAAAAGACACCATTAACCCCCCCAGGAAGCGTGAGGCTGAGCATTTCAGCCGTATCTTTTGTTCGTTTGGGAGAAGAAGTATACTCTAGCAGGGCCAGAATCTGGGCTCAGGCAGGCCTGGGGCCTCCCCGGACGACGGAGGGGGGTTGGAGGGAAGACCCTTGTGCCCTTTGACCCTGAGCTACAGAGGCATCTATCACGTGAGGGAGTGTGTGTGTGTGTGTGTGTTTGTGTGTGTGTGTGTATCGGGTTGGTTGGGGAGGAGGATCACAGAAGGTGGAGAGAGAATTCTCGCTCAAGTAGACCCTGGAGACCAGAGCGAGGCACTGGAAAGTGCCCTGTGGAACATGCTATCCTGGGCATTTTCTTTTCTTTCTTTTTTTAAAAAAATGTATTTTATTGATTTTTTACAGAGAGGAAGGGAGAGGGATAGAGAGTTAGAAACATCGATCAGCTGCTTCCTGCACAATCCCTAATGGGGATGTGCCCTCAACCAAGGTACATGCCCCTGACCAGAATCAACCTGGGACCTTTCAGTCCGCAGGCCCAGGCCGATGCTCAATCCACTGAGCCAAACTGGTTAGGGCTATCCTGGGCATTTTCTATTAGAATTTTTATATTTTCCTGAGGGGTGTTGATTAATACCTCGTTAACAGCGCATTTAATGACCTGGCTGGGTGGTTCAGTTGGCTGGAGCTTTGTCTGGATGCACCAGTATTTTGGGTTCGATCCCTGGTCTGGGCACATACAAGAATCAATCAGTGAATGGGTGGAACAACAAGTCAATGGTTGTCTGTCTGTCTCTCCCTCTCTATATAAAAAAAAAGCAAACAATCAAAGTTTTTAAAAAAAGAACACACTGCACCAACTTGGGGGCTGCCACAGAGGGGGAGGGGGCTCTGGAGGTCTGGGGGAGGGGAAAATCTAAGAAACCTTCTCAGGCTCCTCCCCAGTTCAGCAAACAGTCAAATGGTTTTGAAATTTTAAATGATTAAGAGGTATTACAACAACATTATTTCTAGTTCCATGAACACCCTCACTGAAGCCTCCTGAACAAGAAGACCCCACGCAGGCTCCCTGGAAGCAGAGGTGGCATTGCTGAAGAAGCCAGAGGGACACTGGCCAGGGCGTGGGGGATAAAGCGGGAGATCCACTCCCAAAGCAGTCCCTCAGCTTACACGACCAGCCCCTGGCCTTCAGCAGTTTTTCATGCATCAACAGAAAGGACCTGGGACCTTACTCACCTTATAACACGTGCCCTAGGGCAACTAACCCCAGTTTTGACCCCAAGAGAGTAGCATAGCCAACCCCAGACAACCAATCCTGGTCTCCTGAGGGAATGGGTGAAAACTATTCAGTTGTAATTTTTTCCTTTGGTGTTTTTGGGCTGGGGACCTGACATTACAGTGGAGACCCATTCTGTGATATATGTGTGGTGGGGGGCGGGGCGGGGGGCAGGGGTTGTCAGTTGGATGCTTGTCTGGAAGTTTGCGGGGGTAAGTGAGAAGTTCCCTAAGAGACAGGAAAGCACATAAAACTTATAACCTGTCCAAAGGTGTGTGTGTGTGTGTGTTGTATCTTGAGCAATTAACACTAATGTCCTGCTAAGTCACTAAAGACCTCCACTGACTCATAATCTGGCTGACACCCCAGGGTTTCCAAAAAATAGGGGCTTTCCAAGAGCCCCTTAGAAGCAAAGACAACAAGATCCTCTCAGAATGGCCACGTAACCAGCCGCTCACTCCCTTAAGCTCCAAACACAGTGTCAGCCATGCAACCAGGCACAACCACCACCAATTGTTGGCTCTGCCCGACCTCCAGCAACCAGTTCAGAGCCCAGAACTCGGTCACAAGTGTCCGACAAGGGCCGGGGAAGCCTGGGGAGACTGGGAGGCAGCAGGACTACACACAGCTGAGAGCCTGGCTACCCTATTCTGCAATGCCCATCTAGGCCGGGGGTCCATCTCACTCCTGAGGAAAGGAGGAAGGACTCCTGGGTTTCTGTAACAGACTGTGTACAAGCATTTGTGATAACTCACTACATTCGGACCAGTGCAAGAATCCTGGGTTTCTGATCAGTTCTGCCGGGTGCAGAAAGGTTAGTTTGAACGGGCTAGGAGGTGGAAGGTGTGGGCAAGGTTCCTCCACTGTGGAGTTTGTACACACCCTAGTTCAGTGGGCCAAGAGCAGTCAGGGAGTCCCCTCTCAGGCTGCTCAGACATGTGCAAAGAACAGTTTGTCTAATCCTAGGGCCGACTCAAGGACAGAGACCTGGGGGACAGGAGGAAGTGGCTGTGTTAGGGCAGACTGTGAGAGGCCCACTCTCTTACTCTGTCCTGGAGGGAACAAGGGGAGGGGGTTTCTCATCTTCCCCCCCTGCCCCAGGGAACAGGAGACAGAGTCCCATTTAATAGAAACCTGGGCATCTAGCCTTTTCCATCTTTCAGCCTCTTAGCCACGTTTGCTCAGATAATGGGACCCTCAGACCTTCCGGCCCTCAGCCTGTCCGTGCAGAAAGGTTAGTTTGAACGGGCTAGGAGGTGGAAGGTGTGGGCAAGGTTCCTCCACTGTGGAGTTTGTACACACCCTAGTTCAGTGGGCCAAGAGCAGTCAGGGAGTCCCCTCTCAGGCTGCTCAGACATGTGCAAAGAACAGTTTGTCTAATCCTAGGGCCGACTCAAGGACAGAGACCTGGGGGACAGGAGGAAGTGGCTGTGTTAGGGCAGACTGTGAGAGGCCCACTCTCTTACTCTGTCCTGGAGGGAACAAGGGGAGGGGGTTTCTCATCTTCCCCCCCTGCCCCAGGGAACAGGAGACAGAGTCCCATTTAATAGAAACCTGGGCATCTAGCCTTTTCCATCTTTCAGCCTCTTAGCCACGTTTGCTCAGATAATGGGACCCTCAGACCTTCCGGCCCTCAGCCTGTCCCCTGAGCACTGAGCTAAGACCTTGAGGCTTCTCCGACGGTTCAAGGGCCCACTTTAAGGCCTGGAGAATCCCAGGGCCACTTTGGGGAAGGGCTGTGCACTTTCTGGCCTACTACCCAATCCCCTCAAGTCCCTCCGGTGGTTTCTGGATGGGGAAAACGGTGGGGATCGTCTCTGAGAATCACGCTGGACATAAGGTCTCTTTCTAACCCTACCCGACCCCACTGCTGTCCCACCCCATCTTCAAAGCCACTGTTTGGAACGTGAGAGAAGTGGGGTTCAGATTCCATCAAGAAAGGGGACCCTATTACCGCCGTTGGGATCCTGAGTCAGGGATGACTGCTGTCCCGTGTCCTGGCTTGGGGTCATTTTCCTGGTGCTCAACACTCTAGCTCCAGTCAGAAGCGGGGCCCTAAGAGCTCCCGGACCTCTGCCTCAAGTTTGGGGCCCTCCCCCCAAGCTTGGGGCCCTCTGCACTGGCCTCTGTCTTCAAGAAACAGAGCGTGGAAGCGGCGAAACCCAGGAGTACCCCCCCGCCAGGGGGCCCCCACCCAGGACTGGGACCTGGGGTGTGTACTGGGAAGCGGCCACGGTCCAGGCTCTGCCCCCGGCTTAACGTGGGCACAGCGATCGGGGCTCCGTGTCTTTCCTCTACAAAACCAAGGGTTCTCTTCCAGCGGAGCGCCCGCGCCTGACACGTCCAGCCAGCACCGTACCCCCGCGCGCCCGC